CAGCTGCCCTCCAGCCTGGGTAACAGAGCAAAACTCCATCTCAAAAGAAAAAAAAAAAAAAGAAATTGCAATATGGGTACCCTAGACTTCCTTCCCTAGAATTAGCTCTCAACTGAAGTCTCAATCCAATTACTTTTTAATGTTTATGTGCAGTCCTCACAGTTTCATGACAGAAAAAAGACTCTTTCTGTCATGCCCAGTGCTTGTTGGAAATAGCTCTGTGCTATGGACTAAATGTTTGTGTTCCCCGCAAATTGATGTGTTGACACCTAATCCCCTATGTGATGGTATCAGGAGGTGGAGGTTTTGGGAGGTAATTAGGTCATGTGAGTACCCTTCAGCCCTATATAAGGGTACTAATCCTTTATAAGGGGCTGAAGAGACTAGAGTTCAACCCTTCCACAATGTGAGGACACAGTGAAAAGACCCCACTTACACATCATAGAGTCAGCCCTCACTGAATATTCTGGTGCCTTAATCTGAACTTCCTAACCTCCAGAATTGTGAGCAATAAATTTTGGTTGTTTATAAGCCACCCAGTTGATGGTATTTTACTATAGCAGCCTGGATAGACTAAAACATTCTGTTCGCTTGGTTCTGGCTGAGTTGGGGAAATTCCTGATAACCACTTGTTGTTGTTGTTGTTTGTTTGTTTGTTTTTGAGACAGAGTCTCACTCTGTCACCCAGGCTGGAGTGCAATGGCATCATCTTGGCTCACTGCAACCTCCGCCTCCCAGGTTCAAGCGATTCTCCTGCCTCAGCCTCCCGAGTAGCTGGGGACTACAGGCGTGCACCACCACACCAGGCTAATTTTTGTATTTTTAGTAGAGATGGAGTTTCACCATGTTGGCCAGCCTGGTCCCGAACTCCTGGCCTCAAGTGATCTGCCCACCTTGGCCTCCCAAAGTGTGGGATTACAGGTGTGAACCACCATGCCCAGCCATCACACTCCAATTCTTACTGTGTTCAGTTTTCATATTAAAGTCCCAAAAAGACCACAGGTCTAAGCTGACAGTACCATATGTTCTCTGATAATAATAACAGGTCTCTTTTGTTTTAAATCATATACTCCAAATTTTCTATACTTTCAGGGTCCAGAAAAAAGGTATAGCAGCCAAGTCATCCAAAACATCATGCAATGAAGCCAAGACAGCCAGTCAATGCAGTCCTGAAACACAACCCATGCTATCCACTGTAGACAAGTTCCCTGATTCCTCAAGTCCAGAAAGGTCATCCACACCATCCAGTACAGAAAAATTAATCAGGCCCTCAAGTCTACAAAAGCCATCCATACCAAACAGCGCAGGAAAGTTAACTAGGCCATCAAAGCCAAAAAGGTCATCCAGGTCATCACGCTCAAAAAAATTATGCAAGTCATCTCACCTGGAAAAGGCACATAGAACAGGCAGTCCAGAAAAATCACGTAAGCTAGACTATGCGTGTAATCTAGCCAGTTCAGATAAGCCAGTCAGGCCACCTCGGCTATCCAAGCCACTTTGTTCATCTCGTCCACAAAATGAAATGTCACCATCTGAGCCATTCAGTCTAAAGGAATTGGCTAAGCCTCCCAAACATTTTAATCCAAAAAGGTCAGTGAGTCGAGGCAGGGCAGCCTTATTATCCAACTCTAAAGTAGCCGAAACTTGTCAATCCTACAAGAAAAAACATCTTGTTTCCAAAACTTATAAGCCTTTGGTCAATGATATTTCTGAGGCAAAGGAGAAAAACACTCAAAACCTATATGTTTCAAGCAAAGTCAAGTCCTCTCCCAGGTCCTTTCGTGAGTTACATTCCAGGAACAATGCATACGACGATCACGTGAATGACAGTGATATGATGAGTTATTACAGTGAGGATGACAGTGATAAAGATATAATCATTACATGCGACAGAAGGTACAATCAAGTCACCTCTGAAGTAACCCTAAATGATTAGGAGCTCAACAAAAATAAAATCCAAGTGTGAAAGAGCAAACTTATACCAACTATTTTATGCTCATCATCCCTTAAGAAACCAGCAGAGGGAAAAATCACTATCAAGATCAGTCCAATCTGTCTTGGAGGCGATTTATTTTAAAAATATCAATAAAATGCATGACATAAATTACTATTGTAATTATTATTTCATTTTAGGGGGCACAAGGATCTTTTGATGTCTCTTACTTAGACCTGGTCACTTGGATAAGAACCATAAACATACACTCATACAAACCTAGAAAGAAATTGCAAGATGGGGCCTGGTGTGGTGGCTCACGCCTGTAATCCTAGCACTCTGGGAGGCTGAGGCAGGCAGATCACCTGAGGTCAGAAGCTTGAATCCAGGAGGCGGAGTTGCAGTGAGCCGAGATTGAGCAGCTGCCTCCAGCCTGGGTAACAGAGCAAAACTCGCACAAAAGAAAAAAAAAAAAAAGAAATTGCAATATGGGTACCCTAGACTTCCTTCCCTAGAATTAGCTCTCAACTGAAGTCTCAATCCAATTACTTTTTAATGTTATGTGCAGTCCTCACAGTTTCATGGACAGAAAAAAGACTCTTCTGTCATTGCCCAGTGCTTGTTGGAAATAGCTCTGTTGCTATGGACTAAATGTTTGTGTTCCCCGCAAATTGATGTGTTGACACCTAATCCCCTATGTGATGGTATCAGGAGGTGGAGGTTTTGGGAGTAATTAGGTCATGTGAGTACCCTTCAGCCCTATATAAGGGATACTAATCCTTTATAAGGGGCTGAAGAGACTAGAGTTCAACCCTTCCACAATGTGAGGACACCAGTGAAAAGACCCCACTTACACATCATAGAGTCGCCCTCACTGAATATTCTGGTGCCTTAATCTGAACTTCCAACCTCCAGAATTGTGAGCAATAAATTTTGGTTGTTTATAAGCCACCCAGTTGATGGTATTTTACTATAGCAGGCCTGGATAGACTAAAACATTCTGTTCGCTTGGTTCTGCCTGAGTTGGGGAAATTCCTGATAACCACTTGTTGTTGTTGTTGTTTGTTTGTTTGTTTTTGAGACAAAGTCTCACTCTGTCGCCCAGGCTGGAGTACAGTGGCATGACCTCGGCTCACTGCAACCTCTCCCTCCTGGGTTCAAGTGATTCTCCTGCCTCAGCTTCCCAAGTAGTGGGACTACACGGCATGCACCACG